TATTTTTTTTTTGAGACGGAGTTTCACTTTTGTTACCCAGGCTGGAGTGCAATGGCGCGATCTCGGCTCACCGCAACCTCCGCCTCCTGGGTTCAGGCAATTCTCCTACCTCAGCCTCCTGAGTAGCTGGGATTACAGGCACGCACCACCATGCCCAGCTGATTTTTTCGTATTTTTAGTAGAGACGGGGTTTCACCATGTTGACCGGGAGGGTCTCGATCTGTTGACCTCGTGATCCACCCGCCTCAGCCTCCCAAAGTGCTGGGATTACAGGCTTGAGCCACCGCACCCGGCCACCATTTTCAATTTTTAAAAATTTTTTTGAGACAGGGTCTCACTTTGTTGCCCAGGCTAGAGTGCAGTGGGACTCACTGCAACCTCTGCCTCCTGGGCTCAAGTGATCCTCCCAACTCAGCCTCCCAAGTAGCTGGGACTACAGGTGCACGCCACCACATCCAGCTAAGTTTTGTAGAGAAGGGGTTTTGCATGTTGCCCAGGCTAATCTCAAACTTCTTGGCTCAAGTGATCCTCTTGTCTTGGCTTCCCAATGTGCTGGGATTACAGGCATGTGCCACTGTGCCCAGCCTGCACAACTCTTTGAATGTACTAAAGCTGTTGAATTGTATAATTTATTTATTTATTTTTTTTTTGAGACAGAGTTTCGCTCTTGTCACCCAGGCTGGAGTGCAATGGTGCGATCTCGGCTCACCGCAACCTCCGCCTCCTGGGTTCAGGCAATTTTCCTGCCTCAGCCTCCTGAGTAGCTGGGATTACAGGCACGCGCCACCATGCCCAGCTAATTTTTTGTATTTTTTTTTTAGTAGAGACAGGGTTTCACCATGTTGACCAGGATGGTCTCCATCTCTTGACCTCGTGACCCACTCGCCTCGGCCTCCCAAAGTGCTGGGATTACAAACTTGAGCCACTGCGCCCGGCCAAATTGTATACTTTAAATGAGTGAACTGTATGGCATATGAATTATATCTCAAGAAAGCCGGTAGCGGTGAGGCGCAGTGGCTCACGCCTGTAATCCCAGCACTTTGGGAGGCCGAGGCGGGTGGATCATGAGGTCAAGAGATTGAGACCATCCTGGTCAATATGGTGAAACCTGTCTCTACTGAAAATACAAAAAATTAGCTGGGCATGGTGGCACGTGCCTGTAATCCCAGCTACTCAGGAGGCTGAGGCAGGAAAATTGCCTGAACCCAGGAGGCAGAGGTTGCGGTGAGCTGAGATCGCACCATTGCACTCCAGCCTGGGTAACAAGAGCGAAACTCCCATCTCAAAAAAGAAAAGAAAAAAGAAAGCTGGTAGCAAAACATTTTAGGAGACAGTTGGGTTAATTTGAAGATGAACACGGTAGATGACATAAAGCAACGACAGTGGTCTAAAGTTGCATTTATTAAAAAAGATATCTTTCAGAAATACTAAAAAAATTGTAATTTTTTTTTTAAGACCGAGTTTTGCTCTGTCGCCCAGGCTGGAGCGCAGTGGCACGATCTCGGCTCACTGCAACCTCCGCCTCCCAGGTACAAACAATTATTTTGCCTCAGCCTCCCGAGTAGCTGGGACTACAGGTGCACGCCGCCATGCCAGGCTAATTTTTGTATTTTTTTTTTTTTAGTAGATACGGAGTTTTACCATGTTGCCAAGGCTGGTCGCGAACTCCTGAGCTCAGACAATCAGCCCGCCTCGGCCTCCCAAACTGCTGGGATTACAGGCATGAATTGCACCCCGATCCACATTCTATTAAAAGGAGGTTTTTGTTTTCTTGTGTTTTTTGAGACGGAGTTTCGCTCTTGTTACCCAGGCTGGAGTGCAATGGCGCGATCTTGGCTCACCGCAACCTCTGTCTCCTGGGTTCAAGCAATTCTCCTGCCTCAGCCTCCCGAGTAGCTGGGACTACTGGCGTGCGCCACCATGCCAAGCTAATTTTTGTATTTTTAGTAGAGACGGGGTTTCCCCATGTTGACCAGGATGGTCTCGATCTCTTGACCTCATGATCCACTCGTCTCGGCCTCCCAAAGTGCTGGGATTATAGGCGTGAGCCACCTCGCCTGGCCGGTTTTTTCTTTTCTTTCTTTCTTTCTTTCTTTTTTTTTTTTTTTTTTTGTTTAAGACTAGACAAATGCAGTGGTGAGAAGTGGAGCACCAGTAGTAAAGGAGAGTTTGGTCTGTAACTGAACAATCAAAGTAACTTATTACCCTGTGTCAGCCTAAAAGCAAGATCTTGAAGGAATATTTGTATACTCATGTTCAAAGCAGCATTATTCACAATAGCCAAAAGGTGGAAGTAACACAGGTGGCATAAACATATAATAGATTATTATTTTGTCTTAAAAGGGAAGGAAATTCTGACATATGCTACATGCAACATGGATAAACCAGAAGGACATTACGCTATGTGAAATAAGCCAGACATAAAAAGACAAATACTGTATGATTTGTAGACCACTTCCAGGAGGTGTCTAGTCAAATTCATAGAGACAGAACTAGAATGGTGGTGACCAAGGCTGGGGGGAAAACGGGGAAGGAGAAATTGTTCAGTGGGTACAGAGTTTGTTCTGCAAGATGAAAAGAATTCTGGAGATTGGCTGCACAAGGTAAATGTACTTAATGCTAACGAATTATACACTCAAAAATGGTTAAGATGATAAATTTTGTTGTGTAGATACAAAACTTTAAAAATCGATTCCATCTTTCTTATCTAATCTTCCTGTTTTTTTTTTTTTTTTTTGAGTCGGAGTTTCGCTCTTGTTGCCCAGGCTGGAGTGCAATGGTGCGATCTCGGCTCACTGCAACCTTCGCCTCCTGGGTTCAAGCAATTCTCCTGCCTCAGCCTCCTGAGTAGCTGGGACTACAGGCGTGCGCCACCATGCCCAGCTAATTTTTTAATTTTTAGTAGAGACGGTGTTTCACCATGTTGACCAGGATGGTCTCGATCTCTTGACCTCGTGATCCACCTGTCTCGGCCTCCCAAAGTACTGGATTATAGGCATGAGCCACCGCGCCCGGCCCAAATCTTACTTTTTAACTCTCGTTTTCCCCCCCTCATTTCAGTTAGACTGCTCTCTTCATTGTACTTCCAGTATGCCTCTCAGCCTTTGTACCTTGTTGTTTCTTCTCTGTCTGGAATGGTCTTTCATGATCACCTATCCATTTTCAAAAGGTTGCTTGTGCTTTCGTTCCCAAGACATCACCTTATACATCCAACTAGGATGTCACATCTTCCATGTCATCCCTACTCTTTCAAACCATAGTCCTCTCTCTTTTCTGCACTACACAGCAGGGCCTACACATGGCTTTAATGCTTTAGCTTAGCCTCTCCGACCACACCTCCTAAGACCCTGAGGATCAGGGCGCATTATCTAACAGTTCTGCACCTCTCTCCCATCCCAACAAATACACACGCTACTAACTAGCATGGAGCTCCGCACACAAGCTCCTCCGGTGAAGACGCAACACACTGGGCAGGGCATCTCAACACATCAAATTACCCGCGCGCACAGGAGCCTGATGTAGCAAATGTGGGTCCTTCAGGATCCTTGAAGGCAGCCCTATAATTTGCAGTTTTCTCCCCTTCTTTTTATTTTTTTTTTTATTTTTGAGACGGAGTTTCGCTCTTGTTACCCAGGCTGGAGTGCAATGGCGCGATCTCGGCTCACCGCAACCTCCGTCTCCTGGGTTCCTGCCTCAACCTCCTGAGTAGCTGGGATTACAGGCACGCGCCACCATGCCCAGCTAATTTTTTTTTGTCGGGGTTTCACCATGTTGACCAGGATGGTCTTGATCTCTTGACCCTGTGATCCCCCCGCCTCGGCCTCCCAAAGTGCTGGGATTACGGGCTTCAGCTACCGCGCCCGGCCAGTTTTCTCCCCTTCAAAACACTTTGTGGGCCGGACGCGGTGGCGCACGCCCGTAATCCCAGCACTTTCGAAAACCCAAGCCGGCGGATCACTTGAGGTCAGGAGTTTGAGACCAGGCTGGGAAACTCCGTGAAACCCTTCTCTACAAACAAACATACAAACATTAGCTGGGGGTGGTGGTGCGCCCCTGTAATTCCAGCCACTCGGGAGGCTAAGGCAGGAGGATCACCTGAACCTGGGAGGTTGAGGCTGCAGTCAGCCTTGATCGCGCCATTGCACCCCAGCCTGGGCGACGGCTGTGAGATCCTGTCTCAAAAAAAATAAAACCTACCACTTCCCCACGTATCATCCCAGGGTAAAGCACGCGACGGAGGGGCGAAGCCGTATTTATTTGTGGAGGCGCTCAAGTCAGAAAACCTTGAGTCTCGCTGGCCGACTCTAGGGTCTCCGAAGCCTCCACGGGGCTTTCTCCCCTCCCAAAAAGGCAAAGAACCGTTAAAAAGTTGTGCTTCCGGCACAAGCTTCCGCGCCTGCTCGGAAAAGGGGAGCGTGGACGCACAGCTCTGCTAAGGGAAGTCGCAGGGCACAATTTCCTTCATGGCAGTGGCCCGTAACCCAGAAGTGAAAGGCCGTTTCCTTCGGGCATCAGATCCCTGACCAAAGGAAGTTCCAGTTGGACGACTTTTACTCAGGGTTTCCCGAATCCTCTTTAGCTCTTCCCATCACGTTCCCTGCTTGCTGGTACACAGTCGCTGTGGCCACTTAGTTGCAACCTTCTTTGCAACTTTCCAAGGGTCCTACCTACACTCGGCCACTCTTTCCTGAAAAACACAAAAAGCAAACCTTGACCCTACGGGTCCCCATCAGGGTCAACCAGCGCTCTCCGTGAGGGGCAACGCTCCCGGGGACTTTCCGCCTAACACGGCCAGGCCGGCGCCTGCGCGGGGCGTTACCATAGAGAGGCAGCCGCCTCTCTGCTCTCGGTTTACGTTCTCTATGGTGCAGCCGGGTCGGTGGCGGTAAGGAGAAAAAGGGGGACCGCACTGCGCAGGCGCCTTCGGCGTCTCTCTCGCACTCTCGGTCTTTTTTTTTTTTTTTCTTTCTTTCTCTTTTTTTTTTTTTTTTTTTTTTTTTTTTTTTTTTTTTTAATCCCCGCACCAAGCGCTTAACCTCATTGGGGTGGAGGAGAAGGCGGCGGCTCTCTGGTCCGCAGCGGCAACAGTCACGAAAAACAGGGCTGTAAGTACCCGATCAGGGGGTGGAGGGTCAGACCCGAGCCCTCCCGCGGCCCCGGCCCCTCCCGCACATTGGCGGGCGCCGGGTCTGGGTGGGGGTGATGTCCAGCGCTGTCATCGGCTCTTGGGTGCACTTTGGGGGATGGGGTGGCTCTGAGGTGGGAGCCTGGCGAGGAGCGGGATGCGAGGGTTGTTTATACGGCTAGTAGGTCTCTGAGCCCAGGCTGCTTTGCAGGGGGAGGGGGTCGGCCGTGGTGTCAGTCGGGCTTTGTGTGCCCCTGTTTCCCTTTCCCAGACCCCACCCGGGCCCCCTTTTTATCCTGAGTCTCCCCTTCCGGGTGGGAGAAGCCAGCGAACCCGGGGCGCGTTTGAAAGGAGGGGAGGGGGCGAGGGAGAGAAACCCGCAACAACTAGTCGTCGGCGAGTGATGGGTGTGGAGAAAGATCCAGAGGGAAGGGGTGCCGGGAGGCGGGCGGCCAGGGTTCCTGGCCCGGGCTCCCAGCGCGGCCAGACAAAAGCTTCGCGAGCGGCGCCGACGGTGCGGCTGGCCTGATGGGATGCGCAAGGTCCCCTTGGTCCCCGGGGCCTTCGAAGAGCTTCCTTCTGAAGCTGGGAAAGCGAACAAGTGCTGAGTTAAGCCTGTGCAGCCTTCTCAACTTGCCTTTGTTGTTCTTTGGTGTTGGCAGAGACGCTCTGACGAAGATGAGTGTGTGATCTTGCACGTTAGCCTGGCTAGATACAATGGAGCTAATCAAATTTTGCTTTCCATTTTCTGAGCTGCTTGGATGAGCAAGGGGCTTTCCAGAGTTTAACTTATTACATAATATTTTTAAAATAGTTGTTTGTTTCTAAAATTAAGAAAAAACTTAGGTGGAGTCTTACAGCATGCTGTGTTGCAGCCGCTGAGTTGAGTTTCTCTGTAGTGGGGTGCGTTCGTTAAATACTGACCATTCGTAGAACCTGTGAGCTCTTTAAACATGATACTTTAATTTGTAGATGTGGCAGTGAGAGCTTCAGATTCTCTAGTCCTTTGGGAGGCGGTGATGCAGAAGACTCAGAAGCGAGAAACAGCTTCATGCTGCCATGTACCTTCCATCCTATTTGGATTCCACAGTCTGTTTTCAATTCTGCCATTAGAAATTTTTATTACTATTATTATTTATGACGTTAACTGACCTCCGATATGAGGGATCCTGGACATTGGCTGTGTTTGCCTATCAAGGGAGTGGGAGAATAGCAACACTGATGTAGAGATAATATAGATAAGTAATACAGCGCCTCAGAGTACTGAATATTATTTACTTTTTACATTTGTTAAAGATATAAATTTCAGTGATCTGGTGGTTATCTTGTAAAATTGTGTAATTGCACCTTTTTAGCGGTGGTTACTCAAATCTCAGTTTCTATAATTAATTGTTTATTATGGGCTAACTTGTACCACCATTTTAGACTTTAAAGTTTTAATTTTTATGAAGGAGTTTTCAGCTATAGGTTTTAATTCTCCCAAGTAAGGTTAACCAAAGTCAGGACTCCTTTGAAGAGACTCCGTTGGTGGTGGAGGTGTCAAATATTATATCTCTGTGTTACTACTGAATTGGCAAATACAGAAAAGGCTTTTGCTAAGTTTGCACCATAAATTTGTGTTAGAATGGAAAACCCAGATCTCCTAGTATGTCAGACTTTTGAATTAACCCACAGATTCAACTTTATTTATATAAAGAGGTAAGCATTTTTTTTAAATTGATAGCAAGTAAAAATCTGAAGCCTGGTGTATTATGCTTCCATAACTAATGGGATAGAATCTCCTAAGTGTAGTTCAGATGATAGGAACTTGCTTTTTATAGAGCAAGATTTCAGAGCCTTAAAATAGTTTGACAGGGATGTTGAGAAATGATTGGCCAGAAGAACATTAAGTTTGTCATTCAAGTGTGTTATATTTTGTTTACTGGTTTTGTTTATTGTTTTTAGTTTTAGTTTTTAAGACAGAGTTTCGCTCTTGTCATCCAGGCTGAAGTGCATGGCACCTCACTGCAGCCTCCGCCTCCCAGATTCAAGTGATTCTTTTGCCTAAGCCTCATGAGTAGCTTACAGGTACCCACAGCCACACCCAGCTAATTTTTAGAAGAGACAGGGTTTCACCGTGTTGGCCGGGCTGGTCTCCAACTCCTGACTTCTGGTGATCTGCCTGCCTTGGCCTCCCAAAGTGCTGGGATTACAGGCGTGAGCCATCGCGCCCGGCCTGTGTTTATTGGTTTTAGATTTAGATTTTTAGCTTCAGTCTTGTTTATTTTGTTTTTAGGTATTTAGTTTTTTTTGAGACAGAGTCTTACTCTGTAGCCAGGCACCAGGCTGGAGTACAGTGGCACGATCTCGGCTCACTGCAACCTCCGCCTCCCAGGTTTAAGCAGTTCTCCTGCCTCAGCCTCCTGAGTAGCTGGGACTACAGGCACGCCACCATGCCCAGCTAATTTTTGTATTTTTAGTAGAGACAGGTTTCACCATGTTGTCCAGGATGGTCTCGATCTCTTGACCTCATGATCCGCCTGCCTTGGCCTCCCAAAGTGCTAAGATTACAGGCTTGAGCCACTGCACCCGGCATTATTCTATTTTCTTTTTTTTTTTAGACGGAGTTTCACTCTTATTACCCAGGCTGGAGTGCAATGGCGCGATCTCGGCTCACCGCCACCTCCGCCTCCTGGGTTCAGGCAATTCTCCTGCCTCACCCTCCTCAGTAGCTGGGATTACAGGCACGTGCCACCATGCCCAGCTAATTTTTTGTATTTTTAATAGAGACGGGGTTTCACCATGTTGACCAGGATGGTCTCGATCTCTCGACCTCGTGATCCACCCGCCTCGGCCTCCCAAAGTGCTGGGATTACAGGCTTGAGCCACCACGCCCGGCTATTCTATTTTCTTAAGTAGCTTAGTGTCATGATTTCTAAGTTGAGTGAGATGGTTTCTTGGGCCTAAGACTTTATAATAGAGACCCATCTATTCAATTCTATTTTTTTTTTTTTAAATTTAGAGATGGGAGTTTCTCCTCATTGGCCAGGCTGATCCCGAACTCCTGACCTCGTGATCTGCCTGCCTCGGCCTCTCAAAGTGCTGGGATTACAGGGGTGAGCCACCGCTCTCAGCCACTGTTTTTTTTCTTTCTTTTTTTTTCAGTGTCCTTTAAATGCAATGTCTGAAACAAAATAGAAGATACGACCTGACCAAAATATACAGCTGTTTTCTTAGGGAACTGAGTCAGTGATTTTCAGACTTCATTGTGCATTCTGGCTCTGCCACTTAGCAGTGCTGTGATTTTAGGCCAGTTAAATAATCTCAGTATTTTAGCATCTTTGTCTGTAAAACAAGGGTGAGAGGAGGGCAGTGTTAATTGTAGCACCTACCTATGGGTTGTTGTCAAGATTAAATGAGATAATGTAAAGTGTTGAGGGTAGTGACTGGTATGTGTTAAGGGTAATACGTGGTGGGAGTTAATAACTATGTAGTAGTTGCGGTAATCAAGTCACTGGAATCACTTTGGGACCTTGTGAAAATACAAGCAGCCTGGCCTTACTTTATTCTCTTCCACTCAGAGAATTTGTATGGGACGTGGGTAGCCACAGTTTTAACAGTCCCCAGATGATTTTCAGATGACCCAGAGGTGGAGAACTCTGCATTCTACATTCATGATATAAGATACTGCATTAGCTTTTACAAATTAAAACTTTTAAATTCCCCAAGTAATAGATGAATAGATCTTCCTAAAAGATTCGAACAATGCAGATATAAGTAAAGGCATGGCTCCCAATTTCAGACTCCTCTGGAGAAAGGAGAAGCACCCACTTACTAGTTAGGAAAGACCCACATTTCCTTCTACACACTGTTACCCTTTTTGTAGATTTATAAGTAAATGTCTTCATAGTAGTAATAGGCAAATTTAAAAGATGAAAATGATTTTCAAAGCACTTTTACAGTCATAATCAATCTCTGTTCCTTTCTAAGTCCTATGATATGGGTAGGGGAGGTAGCATCACAGTCCTGTCAATTTGCAGATGAGAAATCAAGGCCTGCAAGGGAAATTTGCCCTGATCGATCTAGAATGAGAATTGGGCCTTCTGTCCCTCAGCCTAATGTCCTGTTCATGTGAGCCACACTGTCTCTTAGCTACATAATCTTGGCTTATATTGAAGTTGTGGCTCATGAAGTCATCTAGTCTTTTTGCCATGCCAGTAGCTGTGAAGTCAGATTTCCTCCTTTTCTTTAGTACATGCATACTTCTTTTAGAAAAATGTAATTTCTTGGATAGGAGATTATTTAAGGAAAAAAAAGAAAAAATAAAAAGTAAATTCAAGGTTTTATATTTTTGTGTATCTGTTAAGATTGATCTGTTGGGGAAAGAAATCTAGAACTGGCCTGGTGGCCATCTGATAGCATGGTGCGTTTGGGTGGGCCCGTCTTTGTTCAGGATAGCTGAGGTCAATGTAGTACTTTCCTTCACTGCTGTTCAATTAACTCTTCAGGTAGAATCAGTTAAATTTATTTATAGTCTTACTACAAAAATGTAGCAATAATACAGAAAGTTGAGAGACCAGTGGAGGAAAACCCACATTAGACCATCCCAACATGAGCTATTACTTCCCGATATGTCACTCTTTGAGACTGCCATGTGTCCATTCCTTTTTTTTTTTGAGATGTAATCTCACTCTGTCCCAGGTGGAAGCACAATGGCGCAATCTTAGCTCACTGCAACCTCTGCCTCCCAGGTTCAAGTGATTCTTCTGCCTCAGCCTCCCAACCAGCTGGAACTACCGGCGCGCACCACCACAGTCAGCTAATTTTGTGTCTTTAGTAGAGATGGGGTTTCACCATGTCAGCCAGGATGGTCTTGATCTTTTGACCTCGTGATCCACCCACCTCGGCTTCTCAAAGTGTTGGGATTACAGGTGTGAGCCTGGCATGTCTATTTTTTTTGGTAAGTAATTTTAGGTTTTGCATGTTTTGTGAATGGTTTTC